ATGTTTCCTTTTCCAATGGTTTTCCCCTTTTTTTAGAATCGAGGATAACACCCCGGCCTCTATTCTAGAGGATACCCCACAACATCGAGATTGTTTTGATGAAAATTAGATGAATGACATGAGAACCAAATTAAAAATACATTTGACTTGTTATATTTGATTGTGTATAGTTATAACAACGATTGAATACAATTAGATATAATTGAATGGAAAACATTTTCTTATGGTGGGTTTTTTTCATGCATCATGTTGAGGTGGGCCTTGTCCATTCATAATTGTATGGTGAGATAGCAAACGAATCAATTTTTGAAAGACGCTGGAAGTAGGTTCCACGCCATTCCCTGCTTTCGGTCCCTCCCGTAAGTCCTTTGATCCCAATTGACGGGGGAGATATAGACGCTTGGACTTAGTTGGTCTTCTGATCCGGTCGGCATTCCAGCTACTACTCGGACCCGCCTTCCACGTCCACGGGGCCACCACCCGGATGTCCACCACCATGCTCCCCATCGACTGGATCAGTATCCTAGGCAACCTAATTAACAGTCTATGCAAACTATTTGTTTCCACAATTCCATGTTTTCTTTCATACGACCAAACTTTGGTCGGGTTCCACTATCCAAGGATAATGGAACAAGAGTTCAGTAAGCACAACTTGTTATTTTCGAAAAGGAAAGTCGAAGCCTCCCGACATGCAATGGGACAAGATTGAAATCATAAACAACAGAATACAATGGGTACACGACAATGGTAGAACATGAAAAATACCAAATCTAAACATTTACAGCAAAAGTCATTCTTCCACACAACGCCTTCAGAAGGGAGTGTGATTGCTGGCATTGCCAATTCCAACATTGTCGGTGTTTTGTACCGGCAGTGTCATCAAGTGATGATTGGTTTGTTCTAGAGAGTAGAGCACATGGGGGATCCAGATGGCGGTGCGAGGAACATGAGATCTACCCAGGTTCGGGCCCTCTGGGGGGAGTTAAGACACTACTCATGCCTCTGGTGTTTGTATTGCTCTAGTGGTTATCAGAGATCAGGGAGATCTCTTGAGAGAGATATTACTTGGGCCACAAGCTCTCGGCCTGGCTGCAGAGAGGTTGAAGATGGTGGTAGGTCTAGGGTTTCTCCCTTCACCCATGCAGGTCTCTAGCCCACCTTATATACTCGTTCGAGCTAGGGTTACATGGCTCGAGACGAGTTACAATCAAACATGTGGGGCTCGCTTGCTCCATGGTAGTTCTGATCCATCTTGGCCCGCTTTCCTTCCTAGGCCTCGACCTTCCTATAGTGAGCGCCCTTTGGATGGACTCTCTATCAAGGGAGCTGAAAAATGCCTCCAGAGATGACAACTACCATGTGCCCGCTAGCCCTCAACTAGGTCGATTTCTCAGATCAACCGGGTACGACATAAACAAGGACTAAATCCTAAATGTTAGTCGGTCAATCAATTAAGGCCAGAAAAACGGCACAAAGACAACTCCTTCCACAAGATGACGCTAAGGCTAACACTGGAAGCTATGAGAGGTTCCAGTAACTAGGTAATATTGGGGCTTCACCACTCATCGTCGGGCCAAAAAGGGAAACCAACTATCATAAGAGCAACTCTAGTAGAGTCGCAATTTGGGATATGAGTATATGGCGGCGGTCATGCGCAAACACAGAGTAGCCATAATGCGGCCTCCATCTTTTCTTATCTTCTCTTTTTTTGTTGCATCAACTCAATAATCAAATACTCAATTTGAGGCATTAAAACACTCATTTGAGATAAATTTGCATTACAATGCCACTACATAGGGTTAGAAAAGTCTTGGTCACATTCCCGACGGTCGTTGTTGAGGTCAGGAACGGCTTTTTCAAGGGAGGCAAGCCTTGACATGGCTTGATTTGTCTCAGTGAATGACATCATGTTCATGTCATATGTGCGCCATCAGATGCGCTCTCTCCGGCACCAAATACGCTTGTTTCTCCTTGTAAAGGAGCCACACAGAGCAACCCTCTCCGCCTTTAATGCTAGCCCGACAACGGTGACCTCGAAGATTTCACCAAGGTGACGACCGAGGCGTCAATGACATAGCACTCATCTCATGCCTCCTTACCAGGAAGGCAACAGGGAGCACGAGCAGCCCTCGATGAGCTGCATGGGTGAGCTCTCTCCTGCCATACGGGATTTGCACGTAGCCGAGCTGAATATCCCACTCAACGAAGTGCGATTTAGGATTCCAATCCGGCCACTCGTCAAGGGGGGATCCTCCTACACGGCCTCCATGGCTCCATCGCATCACAACAATGCCACTCCTCATTGGCCTTCGGGCAGTCTCCTCCTTCGCTAACTCCTCGTCCAGGATCCGCTTCTCCTCCTTGAGAGCGGCACCCAGTCTGCCCGCGGGAGAAGTGGCATGTCGTCTGGGAGAAAAATGAAGGCTGTGGGCGGCATGAGAAAAGTGAAGACTGTGGGCGGTGGTGGTGAGAGATGGAGATATGGTGATGACCAATTCTTAGCAGCCGGTGTTGGAAAATATGGCGAGAGTGACAGCGGGCAATTCAGGGCCAGCCCCCCGATTGTTATTTTTCTTTTTAGTAGTAACAACTTGTGATTGATTTTATTTTTTAGAGAAAAGGTTGGTAGGACTTGTGATTGATTAATTTTTTTTAGACAATTGTGATTGATTAATTAGTAGAGCTGTCGGTCATCCGTAGCAGGCCCAACAGCTAGGAAACGGACGAGCATTACTTAGCCTACGAAGCAACCCACAAATGATTCGTGAGATGGATGCCTCCGTCATATTTTTTCTTACTACCTCCCGTCAGAATTGAATGTACCTACATCGATTAGATGATTGACTGAATAGTCCTGCCGCTGAACCCGTCGTCGCCCCCACGCTAGGGCATCGCCAGGTGCTGGCGGCGCTTTATGTTTGATTCGACTGTCTCCCCTCGTCGACCGACGGCCATTGTCTGCGGCCTGCCTATGCGTCAATCTCCTAATTCCTTAGCAGGCGCTTCAGATTTGACATTCAAGGCGGCACAACATGACTCACGCTAGATCGAAGGTATGTCATATATTACAGCTCATGTCTAGGCTATCACAGATTATTTACTATTACTAGGTCTGTATTGTATTAACTGGTGGACATTAGTTATTGTTTGTCAGATTGATTATAAATTACATACTTAATTGTATAGATAATATAGGTTTGATTTTTTTTAAATGGAGTAGGACCCTCGGCCTCTGCATCTGGACAATGCATGTAGTCACTTTATTAATTATTCACACAAGACCTTACAAAGTCATACAACAATAAGACTAAAGCCATCGTCTAGGCAGCATCTGTCGCTACTCCTATCCAGTTGATGAAGAGATGCTGATAGTCTGGGCCTAATACCAAATAGACCTCGCAGCCAAACATAACATATAAGACCTGAGGACTCCTGCCAGGTATGAGTCACCCATCAGTCCGGCACACTCCTCAACCAGGACGCCTGCCGGGTATGAGACCGCCGCAGCCACCTACCACCAATCCATCTTCAGTGTTGTACTGTTGCATCTACCTTACCCGGTCTAGCTGTCGTCGACGCCACCATGACGCCAGACAGCTACCTTCTCCTGCGCGAGTCCATCTTCGCGTATCGGACGCCGAGTCTCCACTACGCCACGCCGCCGAGATCCGCCGTCATCAATGGACAAGATGAAGCACCGCTCCTCCTCTTGTCCCCTCCAGCCAGCACTTGCTCCAAAACGATGCCCCCGAGAAGGAGAACGACTGCGAAAACGTCGCCATCGTCCAATCCGGTAGACCCAGATTTAGGGTTTCCCCTGGAACCTCCCGATCAGGTTAACGTGACCTGTAACGACGATGCCTCGAGAAGGGAACGACGTCTGAGACACCACCATCATCCGCCATGACCGTAGTCAGGCACGATTTTCACCGAAAACTACGTCGTCCCGATCTCGCGGCTAGCTGGAACCGAGCGGAGCCTTTTGCGTAGCTTCAATCTGCTACCGATCAAATATTCTCGCACAATGGACTGGCTCATAGCCCAGTGGTTGGAATTGGAGCATTGTGGTGTCGCCCTGCCGACCTGAGTTTGACGCTCTTTAGGTTGAATTCTGTCTCACATTCTTTCTTATAAATAATGCCGCGGGGTTTCTGCTCCTCTGGTCTAGTATTAAATATTCTTGCACAAGTATAAATACAAAACAAGCTGGAATCAAAAGCACACCATATGAAATTACATTTTCCATTTCTTTTAGGGGTATGAACTACATTCAAATAATATAAATCTACCTTCAATTCTCTGTTTGCAAAATATATATTATCTTGCATTCCTCTTGTATGGTCGCTGTGAAAGAGAAAAAAGCACATACGATCATTGTCTTCTTCGCCCCCATGCTCAAATCCTGGCTCCGTCCCTGGGCAATTGGTATGCAACAGCTGCCATTAATTGACATCCGTGGTGCCATGGCCGTCTGGCATTGATAGGGAGAGAAGATGGGCCGCACGGGAGGCTTACATGGGAGGTGAAACTTTTCTCCCGCAGATGCGATTAGTGGATAGCACACCCTCAAAACGCCCCCAGCCCCCAAATATGAAGGCTCGTGGGATGGATATGGAGCCCTCCTTCATAAACTATGGCGACTCATGGCCGGATGACGACTTCACTAAAGTGGCCTTTAAAATATATTTATTATGCCGACCGGCCTGATATGGCGACTATGTAGAGTTGCTGTAACAACATAGATCCGAACAGATTTTCCCAGGTAGAGCAAAGAGCTAAACGTGCTTCAGATAACGAAGGCAGTGCACAAATACAAGTCACAGATTACACGAAGCTAAAACAACACATGGACTAGGACTTGTGGAAATTCAGAATGTTAGCCATCATATGCAGTAGTCCTCGGAGATCAACCATACCATGGTTTGGTTTTAGAGTACAAAACATAATTCCAGCAGAAACAGCAGGGGTCATCATCCCCTTGTACTTCAAAGTACTACAAACTAACACTGATCACGGGAAATGATATGGACAATCATGGTAAGCTTCCTCCGGTTCCGCTTCAGCTCAAACAGACAGATATCACCAACTCGCAGACGGTTGTCACTGATAAATTTGTGCCAACCTCCTTCAAGGACACGCCTCCTACCATTCCGAATATGCATCTGAGTTTGCCATTCCTTCCCCTTACGCTGGAGCAAAATAGTTCGCTCTTCCTTTGGAAGATACACAGCAGCATATTTTGCACCAAACTCCTAGTATTTTACAGATATAAGCATGTTACAATTACAAGTCGGCCAATCATGTTGATAAAATAAAACAACAATACAATATAGGTATACACATTTATCTGGTGGCATTTATTTAATTCAGCTGCAAAAGTAAATTTAAGCCAAACAGTTTGCTAATAGCACAGTAAATTGGAGATCCAAAGCCCACGTCATCCCTGGCACCCTACATTGCTAAAATTAGTTATGTTTTTTATTTATTTGAAACTTAGTTATGTTATGGCAGATGACAACAACCTGGGGGGCTTTGAGTAGGTAACAATAAAATTCCAGAATTTTTTTAGCTTACCAGGCTGTAATGCCCTTTGACACCAACATTGGTTTTGTTCATGATTGCCACATACAGATGTGCTTCGAGTTGGATGGCTTCCGCTTTATCTTCAACTATGCTCTGTTGCAATGGAGACAGAAAGCTCATTTGTGACAGCATGTAGGGCGGCACAAAATGACCTGCGTGCGCCTTGCTTTCTGCGCGAAGTAGATGAACCGTAAATGTGAACCTTCCCCCACCCTTTGCTGGTACAAAGATGCAGATATCTCCCTCCTCCACACTATTGTCACAAACAAAGTCTAACCACTCCCCCCTAATCTTGTGAATACTATCATTCCCCTCGTAGAACCTGGGGTACCACCTTTTGTTCTCGCCCGGCCTCTGAAGTATGACAGATGCACTTTCATGGGGAAAGTGTGCAACTGCGTATTCCTTCATGATGGGCTGATCACAAATGGGACAGGGTGTGATGCCATCAACAAACAAACAAACAAATAAACAAGAATACAAAACTCAGCCGAAATACTGCTTTGACTGTCATTGTCGACAAAGAAAAAGCATTTATGTTAAGTGCTCAGAAGGGCCATTGCCACTTTCCCTATAACATTCAAACTATGAATACCCCTCTTAGATCTAGAGCCTAGAGAGGATTGTAGTGTACTGAAAAAGAACTCAGGAAATTTACCAGAGAAGGATACGGTGGTTGGACATTGGACTTCCTCATGATAGCCACGAATGCAAGAGTTCTGGATTGAACGTCCTGGAGAAGCTTATCTATTTTCTCTTTTTGTGCATCAGCCAAATTACTCCTACTTGACAACACATACTTATCCTTTGGACGTCCTGGAATATCATTCGAGTCAAAAGAATCATACTCTGAAAGACAAGCTTCTCCTAGACAAATTTGTAGGTCAAACTAACAATGGATAATGTATACACCGACACGATGACGCATGTGTGCATGTACTTAACAAATAAAACGAATCCATGCAATTTTGTTGACGCAAATGTAACTTAAGAATATAACCTGACTCCGCAGATGGAGTGGATATAACAGCTGTCTTTCTAGTACTCCCACTGTGGCATCCGTCTGATCTTCCACTTGCTGATAATTCAGTACATAGAAACAGATTTTCCCATTATAAACTACAAAAAAAATAAAAATATGAACTGGATCGGAAGTACTTGCATCATACTACCATACCATCAGAACATTGCTCCTCCTTAATACGCACTGTTGAGATCATCTTTGGGAGTGTGTGATCATCCGATCCTGAAGACTCATGCTCGTAAGGACTGTCTTCTCCTGTATAACAGTTTTCAAGAGTAAATGCAACTTCAGATAAAACGACACCTTAAAGCATAACACAAAGGTACAAGCAAGCTGGCAAGCTAACCTGGCAAATCCTCAGATGGAGACGATGCTGCGTCTGTCCAGGCCAGTTTTCTACAATGTCCTGAGCTTTCACTTTGGCATCCATCTGATTGCTGACCCATTGACGAGTGAGTATTACGGTCGCTGGAACTGCCTGACATTCCTGTAGAATTTGTGATTGGTTGATCACTCATAGAGCTCCCTATGCCAAAACAGGGCACAGTTTTCTCACAACCACTAGAATCAAAGACCGCAACCTTGAAGCGAGAACTTCCACGGTATCGGAACATCAATGAGTCTTTCTGTACTATGTCATTGGCATCAACAAACACCTCCCATCCAGATTGGATGACTTTTCTATTCCTGTGCTCAGTAACTCCAACATCATACAGAATGCCATTAGGGCCTTCTAGTTTGACGGTCCGTGGCATTTTCCCTGCGAAATGCTTTGCAAACCTCTCTGGTATGACCTGCAGCAACAGATGTAATTTTTAGAGTATTAGTTTAAATGGAGTAGTACATGTCCGTAAAATTGATGGAGATGAATAAGGCATAATAGTCACCAACCGCTAAAATTGGGAGATGACAAGTTAAAGATGATTATTTGCCTTATATTTTTTCGACAGGAATTATTTGCTTTGCATAAATAAGGGCAATATGCCATTGATCCAAAAAAAAGAGGCACTGCAATGTCTTATTGCTTGGAACAGAGCATATTACCATGCAATGTCTTGAACTTTTGCTCATCCGCCTGACGAAACAAGTGACCTTCCCATGTAGATGGTTCCAGTATCTCTTGCAGCCCTGGCACGAATTGTTCATCTCCCAGCTTCTATGCCACACACCGATTCTAACAAATTAATTTACTCGGAGAGTGGTCACTGCTACTTGAGCTATACAACTTGCGGCAAGAAGAAAATATACCTTGCAGTAGGGAATCTCAGAAGTGTCCTCCAGATCTTCCTGAGCTAAAGAACTGCAACAAAACAAGCCTGCTAATCAGGAATGCACATGAAGGGGGCAAAAAGAAATCCTACGCAGCAGAAGAAAAGAGGTCGAATTAACCTGCAGACCAGGCTTGGCGGAGCAGTCCAGTCCAGATCCTGCGATCACCGTCACCGTGCGCTGGAGCTGGAAGGAAGAAGAAAGCCTTGAGAACTGAGAAGGGCGTGGAGAAACGGAGGCGGAGGAGAACGTGGGAGATTCATTCACCTGGACGGGACTGAACTGGCCTCCACTAATGAGACGTTTGGTGTTCCCGTAGCAACCCAAGAGAGGGGCAAAAACCAGAAGGCAGAGATGCCACGCCAACGCCGTTATGATGTCCTGACTTGTCACCTCTCATGTGATGGGACAACGTGTCATAATTTAGCTTCTTTATCTATATATATGTGGAGTATATTGTAGAGTAATTGCACAACCACTTCGTATTTTTAGTTTATTAGAGCAACTCCAACGGGGCGACCCAAACGGACGCGCGCTTTATCCGTTTTTTGTCCGTTTGGGTCGGCCAGGCGGACATGCGCGTCCGCATTTTAAAATGGGTCGGCTTGACCGCCCAACGGGGAAGCCGACCTAAATGTGCCGCCGTGGAAAAAAAGTAATAAGTTGCACGAAATAAATATAAAGTGGCCGGTCAAACGCCGGTCAAAGTCCACCTAAATCTGGCAGCCGACGCTGCTCCGGCGTGAGCTGCGCGCGGTGCCTGCGCACCTCGTCATCGTGCGCCCGTTGGGTACGAGGAACCGCCGACACCGGGATCCGCTGCGGATCCAGATGCCAACGGTGCAGCATCGTGACATCGGGGTATGGCAATGGCTGCCTGTACTCCCAGTGCCACCGCGCTTGGTGCACCGGGATGTGCAGGCGCCGGCGACCAGGGCGGAAACGTGTCGCCGCCGGAGAAGGAAGAGGGGGAAGGGAAGCAATGGAGAACGAGGCGCCGAGGGTGCCCTTGCCATTGCTGTTGCCGAAGAGGCTCGTGGCTAGGGTTTACGGTCGCCGGCGAGGAAGCAAAGGGAGTGGTGGGGGGGCATACGTGGACGGGAGAAGTGGATGAGGCCGACCCCACCGCACACGTGGTTAAAAAAGGATGCTTCCACTGGCTGACGCATGGGCCCGCTGTCGGTGGTCGTCATAAATAAGACGACCGGTGACGGTTGGGTGGCCGCCAGGTGGGGACGCGGCGGACGGCGAGGAGACGCGCGGCGCGTCCGCTTCGCGTCCGCGCCGACGCATTTCAGGCGCAATTTTGGGCTGAAAATGGGTCAGCGCGGACGCCAGGCGGACACAATTTGAGTTTGGGTCGGCGCGTTGGGCCGCCACTTTTGTCCGCGCCGACCCAAACGGACGCGCGCGGACAAAATGGATCACCCCATTGAAGTTGCTCTTACGACACTGATTAGGAGTATTATTTTCGGACAAAGCACGAGATACAGGCACCGTAAGGGCATCTCCAACTGTAGACCCATGAAACGAACACGGTATCCATTCCCGGACTAGTTCGGATCAGTCCGTGGATATTGACGCGGGAGCCAACCATCCAATTGTGCTCGCATCCAATTCAAAACAAATTTGATTTAATCGGACAAATTTCACCAAACAATATGGAATTCACTAATGTTTGGACATAATTTACATAAAACGGATGAAACTTCGTTACTTAAACTAGAAGCTTAAAAATAAATAAGAGACTAACTTGTAACAGTCTGTGCTCTCATCTGCGTGGTTGGCTGCACCATCATTGCCATCCGTACTGTTGTCATTGGAGTAGTCCTTCCAGCGGCGAAAGGCCACGACAGCCTTACCCCAGCGCCGCCTGGCGCTCGCGAAGAAGCTGTTTCTCTTCCTCCTACGTCGTGTAGACGGCCGCCGTAGCCAATGCCAACCCTGGCCATGGTACCTTGACAACGGCCTTGCCCCTAACCGGCGGCGGCGGAGGTGCCACTGAGCGACCACTCCTCGTTGATCTTGGCAAGGTCCCCGTCGAGGCAGCGGCAGCGCCGCGGGGCCGTTTCCACGTTGGTGAGCGATCGGTCGCGGGCCCAGGCATCCGCGAGATTGGCTTCCTCGTGGACCTTGGTCGGCGCCTCATCAGACTTGGTGAATGCGGAGCGGCGCGCCGCATTATGCTGCTCCCACCAAGTCGCCTCCTTGGCTGCCCTCTCCTCGGCCGACACTATGGCTCGCGACGACGAGGAGCCACCGCGGCCAACGAGTTAGTGGAGGATGCACCCGCGTGCCTTCGGATCTTCGGCGGTAGCTCCTTCTTGGCGACATTGTCACCCCCATTGTAGCGCGGCGACAACACCTGCCCGTTGATCCGAGCGTAACAACTCTGCATCGGCAAGGGCAACTCATCCTTCATGCGATGCCTGGTTTGGACGCCACGGTTGCGCGGAGGGGGGGGGAGGGACACTGGATCCGCCTTAAAGTGACGGAGAGGCAACGCCGGCTCCTGCTTGATGCGGTAGCGGCACGACGAGTGTGTACCGTCCTCCACACGTGCTAGCGGTGGCATCGAACCACGTTCCTGGAGTGGCTGCTTCGTCGGTAGTTCAATTTGCCACAAGAACTCTCGCCCATGGGTGTGGCTTCCGAGGGGTGGTGCGGACTTCTGCAGTAGCGCCTGGTCCCCCTCATCGTCGGCGGACATTGTGGAAGCTAGCCCCTGAGAGCGATGGCGGCGTAGCCAAGATCCGAAGGGAGATTCGGAGCTGCCGTCGCCACCTGCCAACACGGAGAAACACGACTTGGCATGATGTGGATACAGTGGTGTCACCGACCGGGGGGGAGAGGGTGGAAACTGTGAGGTTTGGAGAGGGTGGGAGCAGAGAGAATTGAAGAATGGTGTAGTGTAGACGGAGTCGGACCACGGTTTAAATAGGTGCGACCAAGCAAAGGGACTAGAAGCCGACTTCAATGCGGTGCAACAGCTGGAGTAGGCTTTGATACATCTCCAACGTATCTACTTTTTGAAACACTTCTGCTCTTGTCTTGACCTTTAATTTGCATGATTTGAATGAAATTAACTGGACTATCATTGTTTTCAGCAAAACTACCGTAATATTGTTTTTTGTGCAGAACTAAAAAGTTCTCAGAGCTGGACAAAACTTCCTGGAGAATTATTTGGAATAAATAAAAAATACTGGAGCCAAGAAGTTACATGAGGGGGCCACCTAGATGCCACAAGGGCAAGTAGCACGGCCACCCCTTGGCCTCATCACCCAGGAATGTGCCCCCCACCTCTGTTTGACCTAATTCCAACAATATATATTCACATCCTCCAAGAAAAAATAAGAGAAAAAGTTTTATCGCGCTTACGATACGGAGCCTCCGCCACCTCATGTTCTTTATCGGGAGTCGTGATCTGGAGTCTGTTTGTGAGTCCAGAGAGAGGGATTCATTATCATCGTCATCACCAACCCTTCTCCATCGACAATTTTATGACGCTCACAATCATGTGTTAGTAATCCCCTTGTAGGCATACTGGAGCTAGATGAGATTGGATGAGATTTCAAATCTAATCATGTCAATTTGTTAGGGCTTGATTCCTGCTATTCAATATGTCCTGAGATTGATGTTGCTATGCTTAATGCTTGTCACTAGGGCCCGAGTGCCATGACCTCATATCTGAACCTATTATATTTTCATGAATATACATGTGTTCTTGATCTTATCTGCAGGTTGTATGCACTTGTTATTGTTATGAACCCTAGAACCCCAGGTGAGAATGATTGGGATATTGACGCAGATGACATTAACTTAAGGAGTTCATGTATTCATGATGTGTTAATGCTTTGTTCCTATTGTCTACTAAAACGAGCACATTAACTACCCTTAGTTCCCATTAGGACCCCGCTACCACGAAAGGGTATGGCAAAAGATGCCATGCAAGTTTTTACTGCAAGCACGTTTGACTATATACGGAATACATGCCTACATATGATTGATGAATTAGAGCTAGTACGTGTTGCTCTAGGTTGTGACAGCTACATATTGAATCTCATCCGAATATCCACCGCCACTCCGTGCCTACACTTTACTGCTATTGTCTTCACTACTGTTACTGTTCATCAAACTTGTTACTACACCTGCTGCTATTGTTACTTCTGAAGGAAATATGCCCTAGAGGCAATAATAAAGTTGTTATTTTATATTTCCTTATTCATGATAAATGTTTATTATTCATGCTAGAATTGTATTGATCGAAAAGTTAAATACATGTGTGAATACATAAACAAATATTGTGTCCCTAGTATGCCTCTACTAGACTAGCTCGTTGATAAAAGATGGTTAAGGTTTCCTAACCATAGACATGTGTTGTCATTTGATAACGGGATCACATCATTAGGAGAATGATGTGATGGACAAGACCCACTCGTTAGCTTAGCATAATGGTCGTTCAGTTTATTGCTATTGCTTTTCTTCATGTCAAATACTTATTCCTTTAACTATGAGATTATGCAACTCCCGGATACCGGAGGAATACCTTGTGTGCTATCAAACATCACAACGTAACTGGGTGATCATAAAGATGCTCTACAGGTATCTCTGAAGGTTTTTGTTGAGTTAGCATAGATCAAGATTAGGATTTGTCACTCCGAGTATTGGAGAGGTATCTCTGGACCCTCTCAGTAATACACATCATAAGCTTGCAAGCAAATGACTAAGGAGTTAGTTACGAGGTGATGTATTATAGAACAAGTAAAGAGACTTGCTGGTAACAAGATTGAACTAGGTATAGAGATACCGACGAACCAATATCGGGCAACCGATGGACAAAGGGAATTACGTATGTTGGCATAACGGTTCGGCCGATAAAGATCTTCGTAGAATATGTAGGAACCATATGGGCATCCAGGTTCCACTATTGGTTATTAACCGGAGAGGTGTCTCGGTCATGTCTACATAATTCTCGAACCCGTAGGGTCCGCACGCTTAACGTTCGTTGACGATATAGTGTCATATGAGTTATATAATTTGGTGACCGAATGTTGCTTGGTGTCCCGATGAGATCATGGACACGACGAGGAGTCTCGAAATGGTCGAGAGGTAAAGATTGATATATAGGACGATGGTATTCGGACACCGGAAGAGTTTCGGAGTACACCAGGTAGTCATCGGGGCACCGGAAGGGGTTCCGGACACCCCCGACAACTGTATGGGCCTTATGGACCAAAGGGGGAGAAGCACCCCACCCCACAAGGGGCTGGTGCGCCCCTTCCACCCCTTGCGCACATACCAAAGAGGGAGGGAAGGAAGGGGAAGGCACCCCAAAGGCAGCCAACCCCCTTTCTATTGGGGAACACATTATTTCAAAAAAAATTACCTACGGTCATGCAAGATCTATCTAGGAGATGCATAAAAACAAGAGGGGAGAGTGTGTCTACGAACCCTCATAGACCAAAAGAAGAAGCGTTAAGTAACGCGGTTGATGTAGTCGAATGTCTTGGTGATCCAACCGATCAAGTACCGAACGCACGGCACCTCCGCGATCTGCACACATTCAGCTCGGTGACGTCCCTCATACTCTTGATCCAGTTGAGGCCGAGGAAGAGTTGCGTCAGCATGACGGCATGATGACGGTGATGATGAAGTTACCGACGCAGGGCTTCGCCTAAGCACTACAACATATGCCCGAGGTGGAAATCCATGGAGGGGGGCACCGCACACGGCTAAGACAACTGTCAACTTGTGTGTTCTAGGGTGCCCCTGCCCCTGTATATAAAGGAGCAAGGGGGAGTCCGGCCGGCCCTCATAGGGCGCGCCCAAGGGGGCAATCCTACTCCAAG